CTTGCCGAGGCCTGTCACTGAGGTCAACGAAGAGAAGGGTAGTCTGAACCCTCTCTCGAGGCATCCCCCTGTCAGCTGTCTATATCCTTTATACTATTTCACTAATCTACCCGCTCGGAGTTTGCAGGACATGCGCTTTCAAGGCCAAGTCCTGCCTGAAATGTTTTTGGCCAAGCTCTCCAAGCTGTGGGTCTGATGATTCAGTTTTTCCTCTGCAGCTGTGATCTCGGAGCTGATGCGCTTCTGCGACTCATCCACAGACCTGAGCTTCATCTTCACGAGAGACAATAATACAGTTCTTGCTGATGCAACCCCATCTTCAAGCAGACTGCCTGCATGTAAATGTGAAGAAGACTTGTTGCATCGGACCCATCAACCACACATACAACAATTTGGGTAGATATTCCCAACCCCCTGAGACAAAGGAGCATTCACTGTTCGCATGCAGCCAAACGGCTCCACCTGACTGACCATGCCCATGACCTGCTGAGCGGTTTGCCCCAGCTTTGTCTCATCTTCCAACTGGACCTCGCCCAAGTACACGTGAAGCCGCAGGTGCAGTCTTATTCCCTAACGCAGGCTCTGCATGCAATACTAGACTTGCCGCACACCTAGCATCAAAAATAATACTGGAACTGTGTTGGAACAAGCTGAACAAGCCGGAGGCAGTATGCTTTTATGCGGGGCCTCGTGTTGCGCAGGGTGACAAGGGGAATGGCCCGCGGAAGTCCTACTGTCACCGGCTTCGCCTGGCCGAGCTTGCTGATGGAGCCCTCGTGATTGGTCAGCCTGAGCTCGTCCTGCATGAAGGAGTGTTGCACTTGTGGTCCCCACATGTCCCCACGAATAGATGCGGCAGGTGCCTGCTGCTGTGTTTGCAGGAGTCCGCTCAGAGTCCTAGGCTGCCAAACGGCACAGTCCCTCCCAGGACCAAACAGCAACATAGGACAGCGTGCAACGAGGAGGACCAGCTCTCGAGGAATGAACAACTCATGCACCTTCAAGCCTTCAAGGCCAAGATGCTGGTCGGTCCGAAGAATCTTGGCCTCGTCAGTGCTTTGGTGCTGGGCGAGCTCACCGATCTCCAGGCCTTGCAGACAGTTAGAGCTACAGCCTCACCCGGTGGGTGCTCTATGCTAGCAAGTACACAGGGGAGGTTTTGCGCAACTTGACAGAGTGCTCCTGATTGGCAGCGAAGGTGCCATTTCGGGCTGTCGAAGCACGGAGGCTTCTGTTCATGGCCAGGACATCTCTGGTCATGCCGGACAAGGCGGAGGATTCCTGCTCCGTTTCGTCTTCCTTGGCTTTCTCCAGGCATTGAATCTGCCCCAGCTCAAAGAACAAGTGCTCCTCTGCGCATCGCTGAAGCGTGCTGTGAAGACCCTGCCTGCTAGGTCTTCCCACGAATTAGTCGCAAACCCTTTAAAATCCAACCAGTGTATTGATTGGCATTTGGTGCTCTTCCTTTTTTTGCGCTGATCCGTTGTAATGAGTGACCCTCACACATCCTCAGACCCGTTGAACTGCAGCCGCAGCAGCCAACTTCCGTACCTCGTTTATGAGGAGTTGGACGGTCTCGGCCTGGTTGCTCAATTGAGCTCGCATCTGGCTCTGCGCCTCTTGTTCGCGAAATTGTTCCTGGCCGGTTCTTGACGCCTGGGCAGTACGACTTGATTCGGGCCACTATTCTCTGACTCTGAACGTTGGCACATGCGTTCCATTGTTTGCAGCCCAAGCATCGATTCTGGCCAATTCTTCCTGCATCTCCCGGATTTCTTCAGTCTGGTCGAGCGGGGCCTCTCCTAGGAAACCAGGACAGATGCACCGGGAAAGTTTTGTCTCGTGCAGCTCGGACACTACCTTGCCGCGGCCACTGCCACCAGGGGAAGCTTTGGTAGCCTGCCAAAGCAGCAGCATGATTCCAGGAACGAGGGATTGATGGACTTGGCAGCACCCAACAAGAAAGCTTTCTACACATTTAGACTTCCTGATGCTTTCAAGCAAGCGACCTCCACCGTTCATCTGTAGAACAGCTCCTGATTCCTGCACGGTGTGTTTGGAAGTGTCCAGAATGCCGAATTTTCAAGTCGTGTCCGCCCGGATCGCTGAGAAATGAGTGGCACCGTCAGGAGTCAGGCGGCTGGCATGTTGACCCGCGGAGCACTGGGACTACCCAATTTAGCAGGACTCCCTTTCTCCACGGCAGGTCCGAATGTTGAGCAAATAGCTTTGGTGGAACTTGCTAGCTTCTTGAGATGGCTTTTGATACCTTCGACGTTCGCTTCCTGGCTCTTTGCGTCCTAGCTGCCTAGCTCGATGGCCGGTCGTCGTGGAGGAGAAGGAGGGGGAGCGCAGGGAGTCATGGGTTCAATGACAGAAAGATTCACAGCTTGGAAATGCTCCCAACTAGATCACAGCTCCCCCATGGCAACCTGAATCTGATCCTTGAAACTAGCCAAAAGCCCCCATTCAATCTGTATAGGAATCTAGTCAAAGTATGTCAAAGTCATTTTGCTGTGTGCCAGTTGCCATGCCCAATTTTTGAACCCGTTTAGTGCAGTTGTGTGTGGTTGCTTGATGTTGCTTGGAGTTACTCGCCACTGCAAACCTTGACTGAAGCCAACTTGAATCTTGCAGAGCTTTGTCTTCGAATCTCTCGGTGTGAACTGAAAGAATTTGCTCGGATGTCTGGTCGCCCACAGAATTGCCAGTCAAGTTGTTTGTTGATTCGATGTCTTTTCAACCCCAGCACCATACTGTACCGTCTCTTCTTCCGCACAGTCAATGACAAAGGGCAAGTTGACGAGCCACCGCGATTTACAGCAAGTGGGTTCACGTCGGTCAGAGCGACACTGTGGTGCGAGCAAACTGCTCTCTCGCGCTCTCTCTCTCTCTCTCTCTCTCCCCCATGTTTCTGCACCATTAAGAGGAAGCGAAAACTGCACCGACGCATCACGCTCTGCTTGACCTGAAATATTTGGAATGGCGGCTCCCGTGATCTTCAGAAGACTTCAGCTTCGGCAAGACACATGCACTAATTGCGGCGTTCCTCATCTCTCTCGGCGAAAGAGGGCACGGTAGGTCTATGTTTCCTCATCTCCCTTTCTTTCACAAATCGGAGGAGGGGGCAGCGACTCCCTCCCCACACTCCAGCCACCCCCTGTTATGGTGCTTCCAAGCCAGATTCGCCCGGAAGAACCTCTCAAAAGCAACTGACAGGGGAAACACTGCGCTCTCTCCCTCTCTCTCTCCTTCTCTCTCTTCCCCTGAATCCTGCACAGATGATGTTCGAACCAACGTAGGACATAGGTTGAAACTCAGAGCTAAGATGCACATACCGAGGCCCATGGCACTCCTGCAGATTCACAGGCGTCCTGCTCTGAGGCTGACTCAGCCCGCTGGCGTCGTATTGATGGCTGTGCTGCTCCGCAACAGCTGGCTTCTGTGTGCTCAGAGCGTCCGGCTGCTTCGGCTCGAGACTGCCTGCTTTCGGCTGAGCTTCCACGGGTGCAGCGTTCCTTAGCTTCACATCTGCAAAGTGTTGGGCCGTACGCCGCACGCTCTTTTCGGGAAAGCCCTGGCCATGGATCAATGCCAGCCGCTCCATGGAGTTCAGCCGGTCCTCCAGCCTCTCCAAAGCGGTCGCCACGTCTGACAGCGAGAGACATTGCAACAGGAATCAATTTACACCCTCGTGAGACCGGTCAGGTCGCCCTGTTACCCTGTAGCGGGCTTGCCCTACCTAGTGAGGCTTGATCTTGGCTTGGCTAATGCCTTGTGCCCTATGGTTTCTCTGTGTCAACTATCAGGATCAAAGACCTGCAAACCTTAAGTTGCCCACGCAGGCACAGAAATTCCAAGACATGCGATCGCGCCTGGCGCACGCACGTGTTGCTGCAGGATTGACACATCATCCGCACATTCATTACTGCACCTCGGCTGCATTGCATACTACGCAAGTGCTGTCACGAGTTGGCGCCTAGCAGAAGAACATGATCTGGGTCACCCATAGTCAGCCAGCTATCACAGGGATGTGTTGCGGGGCTACAGTCTTTGCACATCCAACTTCATCGAGCCAATGGAAAGATTTGAGGCAGGAGACTGGTAGAACGCTTCCACGCCGTTTGCATCACAAAGACTGGTTACGATCCCAGCTCCCAGAAGTGCACGGACCAAGGCCCAAAGCACTGTACTAGGAAACCTCTGGTAAGGACACGCCTACATAGGCCTAGGCCCCCTGATCAGTGGCTACTCGCTGCCAGCCAAAAGCTGGTCCGTTTCGAGGGTTCGGACCGAAAGCTTAAGTGAAGCTTCTCTGCGTAGCACCAAAGACCCAATCAATCGCATGCACCCAACACATGGCGCCCAAATCGCACTACATCCAAACCCAGAATCTAGAAGGGGGAACCAGGCCCAGGAGCATCAGTTAGTCTAGAATAGAGAGCATCTACTACCTCGCTTGAAGCGACATTCGGTCCCTGAGCCGAACGAGGTTTTGAAGCCGTGGCTCTCGACCCCCAGCAGAGGAGCCAGCAGCAGAAACAGTGCTCCGCGAGACATTGCCAAAGTCGCACCCTGTTGTTGCCAGGCTTTCTCTCTGCGACTACCGCCTCACACACTTCAGACTTCTGCAAGCTTGAACCATGGGTCCCCAGTGTGGGCCCGTAACCCTGGAATGCTTATAATATACCTATATAATATACCCTATATATATATATATATATACCATTAAAGGGTCCTTTCAATCCCCCTAAAAGGCCTAAGGGTCCATATTGGGGGCCCGTACTTCTGACCTTCGAACTTCGCAACGAGAGAGTGGCCCTGTCCTATCGGTTCAGTTGGCAAACTGCTGCGGGCGGACAGGCTGAAAGTAGCAAGAGCGTCTCAGCCCGGCAAGGTCAGGCCAAGGAAACAACGGAATCCTGGAGAATGTAGACAGCCACGTGGAAAACTCATGCCGCATAACACTTGTCACGCGCCCGAATCTCCGGGCCCCGCGCACGAACAGGCGAACACATCCTGTGATGGAACTTGCCACCCGTTGGGCTCCTGTAACCATAGCATGCTGAGCAGTCCAACTACTGCTGGGTGAGGGTGCATCTTGCTAGGAGCTAGTGGGTCTGCCGGCGCAATGTTGGGGAAGGGGATTCGGCTTCTCTCGCACAGCACTAGTTGCCGACATCCCTCGTACTGGTACTGCCGCATTTCGGTTTCGTACGTTCGAGGATAAATTTATGAAAAGTGCCCAGACAGTGTGATGGGATGTGTGTCTGCTGCAGGAGCACTTTTTGCTCTTCTGCCGTCGGCCACGACTCATTTGACCTGGCCGCATGAAGAGCCAGTGTCAGTGTCGGAAAGGATAGCTTGCCAACCAACTGAGGGCGGAAGAAAACGAGCTGCAACTGAATCCAGATCCAAACCCTACAAATATACTCGTCATCTTAAACAAAGCCGATTGTGCCAGACTTGTCAGTGATATGTACAGTAGGGCTTGGAGAAGCACACCTGCGTCTCTAGGTCTTGCCAACCTAGCGGAGATTTCAGATGATATCAGCATGGAGCAACCATCAAGCCTCCGAGTTCTCAGATGATGCACAAGGCCTTCACGGAAGTGGTGGCTGCAAAGCGTTTGAAAACACCCAGGAGCCGCGGGGGCCAGCGGCGAAAGCCTGATCACAGTCACAGTGCAAGGATGACATCCAAGATCAGCAACATGCCCCGCTAGACAAGCCAAATGCTGCAATGACATTCTGAACAAGAACACAGGCGAAGCCGCTCTACAAGATGCAGCATCAGAAATCCATCATGTCACGGGGACTTCGGGCCTTGAACCCACTCAGCCGACCGGTAGCGCGGATCCGCGGCCGTGGCACGGTCCCACTCCTTGAAATCCGATACCCCCGGTGCGTTGAAAAAGGGAACGGTGCACTTGTCTGCGGTTGATTTGGAAATTGCGCAAGCCACTGTTCCATACAGAGGCATCAGCCGTCCCAGTCCGAACACATGCATCGGGGTCTCCTGGCCATTTGCTTCTATCAGGGCTGACGGTCCAAAGGTGTCTTTTGCTCTTGAGGGTTGTAGAATGCTGTAGATATAGAGGTCGTCACCTTTTCCGATCCGAGAGCGAATCACCGTGTGCCGGCAGGTCACTGACTCTCCAAGGATAGGATCCCCCTTGTCCCAGAGGATTAATGCATAGGCAGCACGCGCATCGGGAAAAGCCTCCAAGGCGGGGAGTTGCTTAACTGTAAGCCTGCTAGGTTCCATTTTTCCCTGTGTGCGTTCACCTTTCCAAAAAGTCATGCTACTGCATACAAGCACTCAGTACTTGCCGGCAAGGGTTGCCTCCGCGTAGCGTGCTAGCAGCTTCCGCAGTGTCTGAACTGCATTGTCGTCCTCGCCAAGCTCGTACTGTGCCTGCAATCAACCCACCCCAGGCGATCAGAAAGTGCAACAACAAATGATCCATCAGCAACACCACCAACAACAGAACTTATAGAGTTTATGTCAATGTGCGCGATGGCATGGCGAACCTATAACGACGTGCTGCTACCACCGCCGCCACCACAACCCCTGAAACCCTGCACCAACAACAAGCTGTAGCCACATCGAAGCACCCTGCACTGGCACCGCCGTTACCACTGCTCAATACTGCTCATAGCAACCCGGGACCTCCACCATGGCTCTATCATAGAATCACAAGAATCACAGCCCCCACCGATCGTATGACCGGCACTGTTCGAGTTTGACCCAGTCGCCCGTCCGCAAGCAAATACTTTTCCGCCCCCTGCCCCGGCCCGGCCAGAGCAAGGTTCACTCCGGCAAAGGCGAAGCGCTGCGAGCCCGAAATGTCGAGTGCCTGACTCGAAGTCGGAGTGCAGCCAGGAAGCACAGCTGCTTTTGAGGGCATGGCCTGCTGGAAGGAATCCTTGGCCTCTTCAAACCGCTGGAGGCCTGCAAGCAGAGGAAGTTCTGCGCTACGTCATGTATTCAAGCTGGCAATCAGAGCAGGCTAAGACTCACGGCTCACAACACGCATGCCATGACTGGCGCTGCCGGCTTGCTCCAGCAGGTGCAAACCGCGTTCCTAGTAAGGCGTTGCCACGATTGTTCCAGGCAGCCGGGTCCTCGGTTCCGATAAGGGTGAGCGATGATAAATACGCGCTAATGACACTCCCCAATAGCTGGCATCATGCTCCTTTCACATGCAGTCCACGCGTCACCAGGATCCTGTTGTAGAACCACATCCTCAGCTTGTCTTCACACAATGGAAATGGCCAATGGCTACACAACTGTACGATAACAGGCGCTGGACAGCTTCCGCCAAGCGTCGTAGTCTAAAAGGGCATCCTCCAGCCGGCCCATGGACTCATAAACTGCCCCACGGTTCAGGTGCGGATCGACTGCCTCTGCACCAGCGTACAAATACGCACAGGTCAACGCACAGGTGATGCAGAAGCACCCAACGCAGTCCTGTAAAGTGGACTTGGGAAGACCAAGTACTATAGAGCGAGAAGTGCACAAGCTACGCTACAGAGTAGCGAACTCAAGTGGATGTTCGAACAGCCTCGGGGACCAGCTCGATGGCACGGTTGTAATCCTCCAATCCACGAGTTGGACAATTTGACGACACCCCGCACGGGGCTGCAGGCACCACCAGAAGCTCCCACGCACGCAGTGACTCAGGCAGGCTAAACATCTAGCATGCCGGAAGCATCAGCGGCCATGAGGCTGTCCACTGATTGCCTGAAACCTTCTGCGCAAATCCGAATCGAGCGGGTCGGCCTCGAGAGCTTCCTTCAGCTTGCCTTGCCGTGCTAGTGAGTTCCCACGATTGCTGCGCACGCGAACCTGCTCGGGAAAGCTCCCCTGAAACGGTTACTGCAAGCAGAAGCAATGGTGAGAACTCGGCCCAACTAGACATTGCATAAACTTGAATCAACTCGGGAAGTCTCTCTAGACTCTTTGATGCTAACACAAAGCGTGTCTGTCGAAGCGAGATGCTTCGGCGTTACGGGCTCTAGCAGGGTCAGAGCACGTCGTCAGTTTGGAGTTTGGAGTCCTCGATGTCTGGAAGTCCCGCGAAGCGCTCCAACATTTTTGTCCATGCGGCCTATCCAAGCAAATGTGCTGCATGCCACTCGAATGGAATGACTGCAATGCACACTGACGGGCGCAATATGCTTCTGTTGCTTCAACTGCCTCTTCTTCCTCCACTGTGGGCGCACTCATCGCAACGTCGCCCATACTCTGCACCTGCAATGGGGTGGTCAAGCTGCGTCTTTGACTCCTAACTCTTGCGCCACTCATGAGGACGATGTAGGTGCCTCTTTCAGAATCGCGATTTTGTCCTGCGATGGTTCTCGTGTCGCGGGCTTTCTACTCGCTTCCACACCGGTAGCTCGCTGCAACTCACTATCTAAGCTCGTCCTCCGTGGACAAAGCGCTCTTGGTTTGAGCCCCCCGAGCGGGTTTTGCGGCCAGCCCTTCAACTCAAGTGCAAAGTAAGCAGGCTCATATAGCTCGTGACGGTAGGGATGCATCAGCATCTGAAGCCTCTCAGCCGAAGCCGAGGTGCCAAAGCCCAAAGCAGCCAGATAGCACCGCATCTGCCGACTGCGTGAGAGCTCGGGTGGCGCCGGCTCTGCCTCAAACCACCTCGACCAAGGCCTTGATGCCTCAGAGTTTCAAAGGCGCGCTCGGAGACATCAAAACAAAAGCTCGGAAGGCTGATTTCTGTTGAAACTCTTGCGCCTGCTGCATGGCCCTCAGGCTGGGAAGCTTTGGCCCCAGCATGAGGGGCTTTGCGGGCTCCATGGCTGAGAGTTGAGGACTTAGGAAGAACACGCATGAACAATGCGGCATCCATGCCCTCTGGGAAATTCATCTCCTGCACGCCACTGGGCGGACTTGGCATAGCGGCAGATTGTTGCAAGGAGGGCGGAGGGAGCAAGGAGGAGAAGGGGATGCTTCAGTGCAGTGGCAATGGCTTGGAGCAAGAGATAGCTTCTGCAACTGGCTGCCATCGCCATGCGCAATCCTCCACAGAATTCAATGGCAAGTAATCCAGCATCTGGCCACGGCCTGCTGCACCCTTTGCTGCATCGAGAGCAATTGCCAAGAGCTGAAACCTGAACCAGTTGTCCAAACAACGCGGCCACATCGTTTGCAATCATTTTGGACTTCTGAACACTTCAAGTATTAGCTGCGCCTACGCATCGCTGGACTATGCTTGCAGCCACCGGCGACGCACCCGTTTCCCACTGCAGGGCTGAATCCCCGATGAGCGGGAAGGCAAGGGTCCCCACTGAATCTATTTCCGGGCACCGGGCTCGCTGCACAAGCTCCTGCTGCAGCAGGAAATCAACAGAGCCGAACGTGCTAACAGCTAACACATCTGAAGAGCTGCCTGTGCAAGATTTGCCGTTAAACTCTCAAGGTCGCATGCCTCCTGCGCTTCTGTGGGAAACGCACACCACCGACTACAGTGACTACAGCATCAATACGTTGTCGCAGCATCGAGATTCTCCATAGACTCCGCAGCACTCCCCAATGGATTGGGACAATCCCTGCTCCCCCACTTGGCAGTGCTGGGCACAACCGGACCTGTCCACCAGGCCGCTGATCGGGGACGTGAGGGGCTTCAGCATGCTGGACCTTCGAGGCCGCAAAGGTGTGCAGCATTTCGTGCACTGACGCTTCCATCATGCAAGGAGCGCAATGCAAGCGCAAACTCCTGCCTCGGGTCGAAACTCCTGTCTCGCCGACCATTTTCCTTCAAGTCATCATGCATGTGACGGATAAGGCAATGACACTCTGCAGCAGACATGATTGTAATCCTTTCACCCGACCGCTCATAAAAACCGACAGGAGCAGCACACGGACGGCACAAGCTTGATTTTCAGCACTCTCGCACCGGCTTGAATCAATCAGCTTGCAGCACCTAAAACCTGGTGAACATGATACATTAGCTGTTCCACGATACAGTCATTCCGAGCATAGCACATCGAGCGGAGCAGGGTCACAGGTCAGGGAAAAAACTGCGGGCTCTGCGAGCCAAGACCAGGCTGTTCTCCAGGAGGAATCGTCCTGGGAGGAACCACTGCAGGCTGTTGTCGAGGCGAGATCATCGTCGCCGGCATAATCCCCGCAGACATTGCCACACCAGACTGCTGTCGAGGAGAGATCACCGCAGACATTGCCGAAGCATACGGGTGTCGAGGAGATGTCGAAGTCGCAGGCGTCGCTAAGCCAGATGCACCAGCTGGCATTGAAAACGCTTTGGGGGGCCTCTCCACAACAACACCGCTGTCAGGCGACAGCCGCCATACAGTGTCCACAATATTAATTTGTACCGAGTCTGCGGTGGTGAAGATGACTGTGCGCGGACGCCTTTGCTGGATGTCTAGCCCATCGTCAACCTCCAAGCCTCTGTTCTGGGTAAACTCTTTCATGCAAGACAGCACTGCCTGCCTCATGTCGTCGTCCAGATCTTGCACTGGACGGTTGATTGCGAGCACGTGCGGATTTGCAACAAATGCTCGTGCCAGCTGAAACCGAACCCGTTCACTTGTGCTGAGTCGATCGAACCATGCGTCACTGTCTTCATCCGCTTCCTCGTCCTCCTCTTTCTCCTCCTCCGCAAGGCATCCGAATATGCCGTCGTCTGATGTGGGACTGGCCTCAGCGACTTCTTGCAATGCCGCGGCTTCAGACTCATACAGCTCCTGCGAGAATAGCAACAACAACAGTCTGAGAAATGCTGAACGGCTACGTTCGACACAAGCCTGGAATTTCACCAATCCCCAAAACCCGAAAGTCCTTAATCCAGGGCTTGTCCAGCTGTAGCCGATGAAGGATTCTGAGGCCTCGTTCAATGTTCACGCCCCCCATCTCGTCGACAGTGCTGATCATGTGAAGATTGCAAAACAGTCCGGCGTTTTGAATAAACAGTGGCTCGTGGGCAACATAGAGAATCTCCAGGTGCGGTGATACCACCACTTCCCCGGCAGACGGCGAAAGGTGTCCACTGATCAGCTGGAGGAGCGTCATTTTGCCAACGTCGTGATGACCAGCCACCTGGATGATTGACCCCGGCGGTGCTTCCGCGGAGAAGCCCTTTCTCTTCATGCTGGGGCTGTGCACGACCGTGGTATCCATGAACACGATGGGTACATCGTCCAATGATGCACCCGAAGGTGCATGTTGAGTTAACCAGTCCAAGGTGAACCTCGGTTCTGACTTGCAGTGCCACACAAAAGGTTCTGTAAGCTTTCTTCCCACAGCCACTCCATAACAGCGAGCAGTTTTCATGGCATCACGAGACTCCATGGAGGGGCAGGGCAGAAACAGTAAGTTGCTCAAATCGAGGGTGCTTAGCGCAGTCCGATGCATCCTGAGAATCTGTGCAGATGTTTCATTTCTGGCACGGACACAGAAAGGATGCTGTCTGCGTACCGAGCGGCGATTCACGCCTCTGGAAGACTTCCTTCTTTGCTGGAACTTCTGTCTCATAGTTCAATTGGAGGGTGATCCCGCACAATGGTGAGATGGACTTGCTCAGAGCTGTGAAGCCTTTCAGTATTGTGGAGAAACGGTCGCCAAGGTCCTGCGGCAGGATTCGAACGGCATGTTGGTGAGTGGAGTCGAGTGCTGCACGTTGCATACCCTGTGTCCGGGTCCTTGTATACGTTCACCGTCGCGAGGAAGGAACCTAACGACGTCCCGCCTGAGAGCACAACCTTCGGTGACGATGCCATGTAGCTGCCGATGGCGAGAAGGGTGATCCACGGAATAACTTGTGCGTTCCAAAACTGGAACCGTTTGAGATCCATTGTCAGGGTTCCTCAGCCAGGCTGGTCAGTGCTAGCTAGTAGCGAAATCAAACAAACTCCCGGACAGTCTCGGATCTGAAGCGGCAACGAAGTCTGTGTAAGTATCTGTGACTGCGACCTTGCCAGTATGATACCATTCTGGCGGCAATCACACGCCACACATTGAACCGGGAGGCGTTGATGACGCAAGATGTCCTCACGCTTTCAGCAGTGGGTGCTCAGTGCTCATTGACCGCCAAGTATTTCAAGCAAACGCAACACCTACCTCAAAGTTTCGCACTGCGGCTGACTTCCCACCATACAAGGCGAGCAGACGGCGGGAAGTGTTCAGCTCCATGACAGCTCCTGGCATTTCTAAGAGCATCTCAGACCAAAGCGCATGAGTCTCGGGGCTAACACCCAGACTCGATATTCGGCACAACTCCACCCCCAGGTCTGTCCTGTTGTGTCGCTTTGACCCTCTCCTTCTTTCGCCATGAGGTCTAGCCGCCTGTGGTACCTCAATAGATGCATCTCTGCAAATAAGTGCGGGAAAAGCACACAATCAGAGCAGGTGAAAATCAGCTTAAGTTCAGCCAGAGTGCGTGCACCTTAAGTACAGTGCCAGGATCACCAGATAAGCGAAGAGCGGAAGCGCACTGTTAGGGTGCTTCCGCAACATGAAGTACGCAATGCACGCAATTTTGCCCAGCATGGCCCACAGTTCGAAGACAATCAAGTAGCCCTCGGAGACTAGCTCTGGGATATCGTCCATCATGCTGATCTTGAGGTCCTGGATGGGCACACGAGATCGCGACTGCTGCGTGTAGTGGAGGTACTTTCTGAACAAGTTCACTCGCAAGTAGTAGCGGATGTTGAAGCCCATCTCCAGAACGGCCATCTCAAAATAGTCAGAGGCCAACAGAATAAAGTTGGGAAGAATCCATGCCAAGGCAAGGGCAACTGCAGTACCATTCCGATCCCCTGGGATCAGCAGTCGCGATGACGACTCTTCATCTTTTGTGTTGAGAACTGTATCAACCAAGTACACACGGATGAAGATTGTGCCAAGGTAGTATGCATTCCCTAGCATGAACAGTAAAAGGACCAGGTTGGTCTTCCAACGGATCTCACGAACGTGCCCGTAGCTGAATCGCACAAAGCTCCACAGCACTTGCCAACCAATAGTGTACAGTCCAGCCTCGTCTTCCTTTTTAAGCTCTTCCTCCAGCTCGTTTGAAGGGAACACATCATCATCCAAGATCATTACTGTAGATCGGGTACTCGCCGGCTCGATGACACAGTTTTTGGCATC